GTGATAGTTGCACAATAATGTACGTAATGCCATCAAACAGTACACTTATAAATGGCGAAGGTGATGAATTTTAAGTTACGTGTTTTTTACCACAATTAAGATTAATTTTTAAAACTTATGTGAGAATTATTAAAGCATCCTAGTGTGCATAAACATCATTGCTACCAAAGTAAGTGGGTATAAATACTCATTTTTCAGGGAAAAACTCAGAGACAGAAACCCCAAACAACTATTGTAGAGCAGACATAACTGACTGAATATATTAGAGAGGGAAAATGATCTAAAAAATGAACAAAATGAGGTTAGCAACCGCCCTCTCCCCCCAAAAAACAAACAAAAAAACAAAAAAACACCATGAAGAAACCACAAATTGTGCCCTGGGAAGTCTGCAGAAGAAAGCTACTGCTGTGTCAAACTTACAGAATTTGTTGGAAAAAAATTTGAGAACTGTTTTGACAAGTTTATGAATTATAGTAACTTTTTTACTTTGCAGAACCAGACATTGTTTGCGGCTCCTTCAAAACAGAGGTGAGAAGAAAACAAACCAATAAACTAGGGAATATCTTAAGACCAAGTTAAAAAGTTACAACTGAGGATAACAGAGTAGGATTCCTTGTCTGCCTGCAATTTTCCACTGCAGTATATATAATTAGGTAGTTTAGAGTTATAACTTTTATAACTTGGGCTTCAATATTCACTAACTGCATAATCTTGGGCAAATTTCTTAAATTCTTTGGGCCTTTAGTTTCCTTATCTCCAAAACAGAATTAACAAACAGTGAGACATGTCTCATAGCTTGCCTTGAACAGACGTATATAAATGCAAAAGCACTTAACTGGTCTGACACAACGCAATAGTAAACTACTATTATAGTACTAGTGTTATCATTACTGTTATTTACCCCACTAACTCCAGTTATAAACTATATAGTTAAGCTAGGGTCTCTCAAAAAAAAAAAAAAAAAAAAAAAAGCACACAAAAGCCTTTCAACATTCCATCCAACTAACCATGGATGCCAGATCACTAAACTCTATCAAAGATGATCCTCAAGCAACTTGGTTTAGTCAAATGGTTCTTAACCTCTCCTGTACCAAGGACCTCTTTAATAGTCCCATTAATCTATGGATCATGTCTCAGAATTTTTTATTCTTTTTCAAATTTATTCTATTTCTGCTTAGAACGTGGGTGTAGGCCGGTGGTGGAGGCTGGGGGTGAGAGGACTCACCAGAGACAGAGTGGGGAACAGAACAGGCAGATCTACTGAAATACACTGCTGAGGGGAGCAGCTGGTGAGACAGGAGAGGTCTGCGGAGAATTGAACTCAGGCCATCATGGTGATAGCGCTGAGGCTTAACCCCAGGGCACCAGGGAGGCCCAGAATAATGATTTTTAAATTTATGAAATATATAGGGGATGACAAAATAAACCAATTATAGATATCAAAATATCCTTTAAGTTTCTAGATTTCAATTAGAAGGTAGTGAAAATAAACATGCAATTTCTTTTCCTTATCCAAGTTCACCAACTTCCTCAATTCTATGGAGGGATCCTGATTGAGAACGCTTAGCTTAGAAGAAAATGCAAAAATAAGTTTTGGAGCCAGAGACTTGTGTCCTAGAAGTTTCAGACTTCAGACTTTAGTCCCCACATTATTTACACCCAAGTGACCTTAGACATCAAACTTCTGAGCTTTGGTTCCCTCATTCAAAATAATTCCTGTATTGTAAAGCTATAGGGAGAAAATATTGGCTAACAAAATGCCAAGTGTGTTGTTTTTTTTAATTGATATTAATACCATATATTCAGTCACAAACATTTAGTGACTGAATGTGACTTAATGTCACATGAGAAAAAAATTTAAATACATACTGATTCACAAGGAAAATGATTAGTGGAAATATTAATTTTATATAACAGAGAATCGTGCCTTGACATTAGAATGTCCTGTATCTTAATCCCAATTCCACTACTTTTAACTAAGTTTCTTAACCGTTCCCCATCAGTTTTCTCATCTGCAAAACATTTCCATGTTTTAGAAGCAAGTGAGGATTTAGTTTTAACACGTAATAAATGGAGCTATTTTTAAAATTCACATTTTAACAAAGCCAAAGGAAACAATTTGGAACTCAAAAGTTTATTTTGGAATTCATGTTGACTTAAGACTTCCCAGTTCTTCCCCCCAGCCCCCCCCATTCCCTCTCAACCCTCCCCCATTCCCCTTCAAACCCCCCTAACCCCTCCCAACCCCCCGGCAAAACATACACAACCTGCAGCATTTGCATGGTTTGGCATTCCTGAAACAACTGACACTGCTTAAAACTATTTCTTACTCTGCTGAAGGAAAACAGTGAGGATAAAAAACAGTAAACAGTAAGCGTGCAATAATTTAAAATCATGATTCGCTTGAAAGGCTCCAATTAATGTTTATTACAAATACTGCACATTCAAAGGTAGCTGTTTCTTTCTAAAACTCAACAATTCAAATTTACCAGCTACACTTTGTCGCCTAGACGGAGGAGGTGGGGGAGGGGAGGGGGTAAGTATTCACTCTACGCCGCTATATTACGGAACAAGATCCATCCCTCCCTCCGAGAAAAACCGGGCCCACAGACAGGACCCGGCTCCCCAATCCATTATACAACCTGTAAATTCCTTCCCTCATTGAAAAGATTCTTTTTATGGGCACAGTTAACAAGTGCCAAATTGCAAAGTTGCAGTTTTGCTGGTCTGACGTTTTCACAATGCAAGAACAATATGATCTGGAATCTACTCAAAGGATTAGCCAGGCAGTCAGCTGATGCTCACTGCGCCCAGGAAAGAGACAGAAATAAAGAGAAATTAAACCTCGTATCTGTGCAAGGCAGGTATCCTCTACCCTTAAAACCGAAATAGGCCAGCAGCAGACGCTTCAGTTAAAGTGTTTTCTATTGTTTAAGTAACTATTAAAAGACTTTCCCCCGGACTAATTTTCTCTCATTCTTGGAATTTTTCTTGCAAAAGGACCTTCCCCGGTTCATAAAACCAGCCGCTCAACACGGAGCCGCCGCCTGAGTAACTTTTACAAAAGGTCAAAGAGGTGCCTTTCAAGGCTTCCAAATCCCATTGGCTTCTCCGCTCACAGAACGTTCCAGAGAGCTAGCGACGGGGCCCGGACAAAATCTGGTGGGGGTTGCTCAAGGCCGGCCATCAACTTTCTTTTCCGAACACTCCGGGGCAGCCTCGCCTCCGCGCCCGCGGCCCCACATGTTGCTGGTCTCCCTCCCAGCGGGCCCCGCGAGGCCTCGCTCCCCGGAGCGCGTCCACCTGAGCGCCCCGCTCCCCTCAGGCCCCGCCCCCGCCCCCGCCCCCACCCCCACCCCGCGGGCGCCCCGGCCGGGAGGTCCATATGGAACGCTCTCGCTCCCCGAGCCTCCCGCGGGCCGGGCCCGCCGCGACCCCCGCCGCCAGCGCCCTCACACGGCGGCCCGCGCCGCCCGCCCCCCCGACAGCGCGGGCGCCCGCGGGCCGCGGCCGGGCCTGCGCGGCCCAGGTGCTGTGTCAGCCTGCCGCCGGCTCCGCGGGGCACGGCCTGGAGTCACATGGCGGTGGGGCCGGCCGGCGCCTCCGCACCCCCGCTCCCCTCAGAGCCCGACGAGATTACCACAGCCACTCACCTCCACGAAGAGCAACATGTCTTTCTCCGCTCGGCCCAGTCGTTCTCGCCGCCGCGACTCCAACTGGCTTCCAGGCCCGAGCCCCGATGGCTAGGATAAGGACACTCGCCCGGCCCCTCCACCCGGCAGCGGACCCGGCTCCTCCCCTGCCGTCAGCCGCTGTGGCCTGACCCGCCCAGTCCCACCTCCCGTGAAGCAGCAACTGTTTCCGGGTCTGGAGAACAACTGCTTCCGGGGGGAGACGACCCGTGGGCGGCGCGACTTTGGCGTTACCTTTTCCAGCGGCATGTGGAATGTACTATCATCTGTCCCGGAGGGGAGGGACCAGAGAAGGCACCATTCCGTGCCACGGGGGTGTGTAAAAAGCTTACACATTTTATCCCTTGCCAAACCAGTAGCGATCACGGCCACAATAATTCTGCAGTTTTCATAGCTCAGTATCTTGAGCTGACACACGTGCAAGAGCTCGTGAGAAGTGTATTGAATAAACACCCAACCCTACTGAAAAAGTTGACTTGCAAAGTAGAGAAGTGGCAAAAGCCGCTGTAATAGTAAGTATATTAATAGCACCTGCTGTATTCAGATGCTTACTATGTGCCCGAAACTAGTCTAAGTATTTCGCCTGAATTAATCTTAAAACAATCCTATGCAATTAATACATTATCACCATTTTTAATTGAGCGCTCTGGAAAGGCTTAGACACACCTTTAAAGAACTTTAAAGATACACCTTCCCTCAGATACACCTTTCAAGGACTTTAAAGACACACCTTTCCTCAGACACACCTTTAAAGAACTTTGCGCCAGGTTAGCTTGAATCAGGTAATCACATCTCCGCTTAGTAATACTACTAAATATTACTTAGTCTGGATAGCCTCTTCATTGATCTTCTGCCATAAATTCAAATGAAATACAATAAAAACAAGTAATTTTAATTATAATTTTCTGTTAAATGATACAAATTCCGTATTATCTTTAGCAATACGGAATAGGTTTTGTCCCTCATCACTCTTCTATATCCTAGTTCAGACACTCATCTTTTGAAATAACATCCTCATTTTTTAAATATATTTTTCTGTTCTATTTTATTCCATCCTATTTTAAAATTTCCTAGATTGATAATTTCATTTTCACCGAACTGCTGTTTTTTACTTTCAAAATATTACCTTTCTGATCCCCTGTGTTCTCCTTTATATTACTCACATTTTCATTTAGATACCAAGTTTGTTCCCTCATCAAATTGCTGATACTCGTGTCCCAAAATCTCCCTAATTAATCTGCTCCCTAGTAAAATCTCAAACAAACCAGTCTCCCAACTTTCCCCCCAAAATACAATCTCAGCACTCACCTCCAAAGCCATGCTTCAAATTGTCTTCCCTGTCTGGAAAGCTTTCATTTGTTAATCAACCTTTCCTCTCCATAGGTTTTTCCCAAAGACTCTGCTCTCCATAGATCTCTTCTTCATGTCCCTTTTTAGCACTTGATTATTAAAGTCTATCTTTAATTTTTTTTTTTTTTTAAGTTTCTTCAAGGACACCCTATCACGTATTCTTCACAGTCTAGGATTATGGTAGCCACATAGTGGAGTCTCAACAAATGCTTGTCAAATTGAAATAGATTTTAATTTTGCTTTAAAAAGCCTTCATTTCCAGTTGCTGATGAAATTCCATGCTGCATAAAAACACGAGAGAGAGCACAATAATGCTAAATTAGTTTAGTTGACATGCATTTAGGCTGCTTTGCAAATACCTACTAGGGTAAGCAATGTAAGAAAATAAGGAGGAATAAAAGTTGCTTAAGGATCTCACAATCTAATGTCAGCAACATTCTTAAATAGATTAATTGATAACATCAAGAAATGCTGGATAATGATGGATTATAATCAAATCTCACATTTATAAAAATAATTCTCTTCAATTGTGTTTTTTTCAAAAAACACTACAAACTTCCTTGAATAAAGAGACTTAATTGTGATTTCATGGAAAGGAGGTAGTAATAGTTTTTAATGGGGGGAGTAAGGTGGTGAGCAATCTAACAATAAAAGTACTCTGAGACTTAGAAAAGTTGCCATAAGGAGAGAAGTCTGAAATTATATCCAGATTTTAGTCTGTGAAGGAACAGAGTAAGAATATGCTAAAAGGTAGAAAAGAAAAGTAACATATAACATCTGTTTTGAGAAGTTCATTAACTAGTGGGTAGCCACAAATAATAGTTAGGCTTCAATGAGATATGTACTGTAATAGAGAGTTTACAAAGTGACCTGGGAACCAGAGGAGGAAGAAACTTAGACAACAGGATCATACAGAAAAGGAATATATTTAATTTGCTCGCTACCATATTAATTCATATAGTGATTAATATTTTTAAAAGGCAACAGCTTTATAATTCCCTTCCTCCCTTTCTCTGAAGGACTGGAACACAAATTATAAGTTTACAACAATAAGTTGTAAGCCCTTACAATAAGGAATAGACATAGGAAGTTCTTAGAGAAATTGTTATACATCCAGTCTGTATAAACTCAAAACCCCTTGTATAGTTTGAATATATACACCTGTAGCATAACTATTTAAACACAGACTCTTCATATATATATCAAATTAATTCATAATTGTCATTGCCTCTGAAAAGAGAGGGGAAGGAAGCAGTCTTCAACTTCACCTTCAACTTTGTCTGTAACGTTTTCTTTCATTTAAAAGTATCTGAAGCAAATACGACAAAGTGTTAATATTTTTTCAGTGTAGGTGATAGGCACATGGCTATTGGTTATATTAATTTCTATACTTTTCATGTTTTTTTAAATTAGAAGAGCTACAAAGTCAACAGAATCACCCTATCCTTTAATTGCTCCAGTCTCCGAAATCATTTCAGCTCCTCTGAAATCAAAGGAGCTACCAAGTACTAGTATTTCAGTTAGAAAGCAGCCACTAGCATTCCCTTCAACTTCTTGAGCCAACTATGGGACTTCAAGCTTTCTTCAGTCTAGGTCCCTGAAAATAAAACCAAGCAACTAGGCAGTGCAAAGAGTATGATCTTCAACCAAATAATATCTTCCGAGTTACTGCATGTCTAGGAAAAGTTGAAAGGCAGCTGAAGAAATTGTATACAATTATTCCATTGCAGCCTTAAAAACTCTTAAGCAAAATCTCAGAAAGAGAAAAGAACCAGGAGTTACTTTTGATATAGTGGATCTTGAATTCTAACACCTAAGCTTCAAGCTCATTTAAGTGGGGCTATATCTTCTATTTCTTTTAGCATTCCTGTTGTCTATTCTTTTCTACCCTCCCTACCCCCCCACCTCACCCTCTACCATCACAGCATATGGAATGCCTATTCTCTGCCTGTAGTAAGCACTCTTTAATGTTTGCATCAGTGATAATGTCACAGTGGACCGAGTGTGACATCACCAGGACTGGAATACCATGTTTAACAACTGGTTAGTAGCAAGGAAAACCATAGCCTCTGGGAGCAGGAAATGCCTCTTCCAGTTTCCTTGTGGACACCTTTATTAGCATTTGCCTATATTCTGTGAAAAAAGAAGAAATAAAATCACTCTGCTTTTCAAAATGCTTACCAAAAAGAAAAATAAGAAAGATGGTAACACTGAACCAGAAAAACTTGTGAATTCCACCATCATGACAAAACCGTCCAGAAAAGCCCTTGAACAGTTTGTGACCCCTAAGCTTGAAACCCCAGTCTCAATAGAGGAGGTCATTCATAGGATTCAGCAGGCCCAGCAACATAGAGCAAGTGAGGTAGGTAATTAATGAGAAGATTACATCTTGCAACTTTTTATTTTGAACTCTTTATGATTTTTCATAACTGTGTTTGAGGTGACTTTGATTTCACACTGTCACTGGACAGGGGAGTGGGCCCGAGGCCCCTCAGTCTGAGCCCACCCTCCAACAACACAGGTATATAAGCTGGGAAAGAACTACTGGTTCTCCACTGCCGGAGGAGGTCTGGACTGAGGGCCTCTTCTCCAAGGCCATGAAAGGTCTTTTGAGACTTTTGAGGCTGAAAGAGGTCGGGGCCTCCCTGGTGGTGCAGGTGGTTGAGCACAGCCCTGTGAAGCTATTCGTAGATTCTGCAGTGCCAGTTCAAACCCCGCCGGCCTCGGAGCAACCCATATGGCAAGGCAGACCTCTCCTGTCTCGCCCGCTGCTCCTCTCAGCAGTGTATTTTGTCAGTCTGCCTGTTCTGTTTCCCGCTCTGTCTCTGGTGAATCCTCTCACCCTCCCGCACATCTGGCCTGTACCCCAGCTCTTGCACGGATAAATAAATAAATCTTTAAAAAAAAAAAAAAAGATTGAAAGAGGTCTCACATACACCAGTAAGGGTAGGCAAGGAGTTGGCATTTATTGACTAGCAAAAAGCAAGGAAAGGGAACTCTGTGGAGATTTCTCTGGACATGAAAGAGATTCCCTGAGGTGTCAGGGCCATGGTCTTAAAAGGTTTTAAGAATGGCCTTTGGAAACAAAGGAACTGAACTGTATTTACTGAGAAAGCAAGGAGAGTGGACTTGGCTAAAGTGTATTTATTGGTGCTGATTGTGGGCACAAGTCAGCTGCAGCTTGGTGACTGTGCAGGGCTCCTGATTGAACAAATCATGGAGGCTGTGTCCCTGAAGCTCCAGTCTAAATTGGTCTGGTCTCAAGGTCTGTGACTTTTTTTTCTTGGTCTTTAATTCCCTTTTCTTCCAATAGCAGCTGATTTTTTTTTAAAGATTTATTTATTTATGCATAGAAGAACTGGGGTACAGGGCAGAAGTGTGGGGGGTGAGAGGATTCACCAGAGACAGAGGGGGGTACAGAACAGGTGGATTGACTGAAATACACTGCTGAGGGGAGCAGCAGGCGAGTCAGAAGAGGTCTGCTGTGCCATGTGGGTATCTCCCTGGCCGGGGATCGCACTCATGATGCAGTGGCTGTGGACAGCTTCATAGGTTGTGTCTTAATCCCTTGCACCACCAGGGAACAAAACAAAACAAAACTAAACAAAAACCTATAAACCCAGGGATTTTATGGCAGTAAGTGTCCAGGACTATGGTCATCAGGTTTTTAACCTTCTTTACCAGCCCATGGGAATAGCAAAATTTTGTCCTTGAGTCCTGAACTGTCCTCATGGTAGGGCCCTTCCTGTACCAATATAATGTCAGGGACCTCCCTAGTGGCGCAGGGCTTAAGTCTCAGCACTGTGAAGCTATTGGCAGCCACTGCAGCATGAGTTCAGTCCCCAGCCAGGGAGCTGACTCACATGGCACAGCAGACCTCTCCTGTCTCACCTGCTGCTCCCCTTAGCAGAGTATTTCAGTGAATCCCCCTGTTCTGCTCTCCACTCTGTCTCTAGTAAATCCTCTCATGCCCTACGCCTCTGGCCTACACTCTTTTATTTTCTAGACAAAAATAAAAATAAAAAATGAAAAAAGATATACTCATTTAAAAAATAATAAAATAAACACTCATGAAACCATCATCACAATCAACATAATGAACTTACCCAACCCCTAAAAGTTTCTTCATGCACTTATAATTCCCTTTAACACACCCTTCCCTACCCCTGCCCCAATCCCCAGTCAACCACCAATCTGCTTCCACACTGTTGACTATTTTGCATTTTCAAATTATTTTATATAAGCAAAATCATACAGTATCTACTTTTTTCTGCCTCTCTCTCTCTCACTTAGCATATTTTGAGATTCAGTAACATTCTTGTATATATGAATAGTCCATTCCTTTTTACTGCTAAGTATTTTTCTATGACAGCCTTTTGAGTTGTTTCAGGTTTGAGCATATTACAAATTAAACTGCTATCAATATGTGTGTACTTATTAATGACTTATGAACATTTTATTCTTTTGGGTAAATAGGTTTGGAATGGTAGGGTCATCAGGTATGCATATGTTGAATTTTTTTTTTTAAAGATTTATTTATTTATGTATACAAGAGCTGGGGTGAATTAAAAAAAAAAAAACAAGAAGAGCTGGGGTGAAGGCCAGAGGTGTGTGGCAGGGGGCGGGGATGAGAGGATTCATCAGAGAGTGGGGAGCAGAACAGGCAGATCTACTGAAATACACTGCTGAGGGGAGCAGCGGGCGAATCAGGAGAGGTCTGCTGCGCCATGTGGGTAGCTCCCTGGCCAGGGATTAAACTCGTGCTTCAGTGGCTGCTGATAGCTTCACAGTACTGAGACTTAACCCCTTGTGCCACCAGGGAGGCCCCCAGCACATGTTCAATTTTTAAGTCACCAAACTTTTTCAAATAGGTTATACTATTTATATTCCCACAAGTAGTAAATGAGGTTAATTGCTCTGCATCTTTACCAACACTTGATGTCATCAGTCTTTTTAATATTAATCATTCCAAAAGGTATATAATAGTATCTCACTGTGGATTAATTTACACTTTCATAATAACTAATGATTTGGGACAACTTTCCATGAGCCTATTGCAATCTTTATGTCATCTTTGGTAGTTAAAATATTTTGCCCATGGGCCTCCCCGGTGGCGCAGCGGTTGAGCGCTGGGTTGCGAAGCTGCCCGCGGCCTCTGCGGCGCCGGTTCGATCCCCGGCTGCTCCCCGGCCACCGGAGAAGGATCCCACATGGTGCGCAGACCTCTCCTGCCACCCGCTGCTCCCCTCAGCAGTGTACTTCGGCCCTTCTGCCTGCTCTGCTCCCCACTCTGGCTCTGGTGAATTCTCTCACCCTCCCGCGCTTCTGACTGTACCCAGTGCATGTATAAACAAAACAAACAAATATAATAAATAAATAAATAAAAACATGCCTCTATAAAAAAAAAAAAAAAAAATATTTTGCCCACATTATGTGATCTGTGTTATTCAGTTTTAAGTATTCTTATATATTCTGAATACAGTTCCCTTACCAGATAAGTAATTTACAAATATTTTTCTAGTTCTATGACTTTTCTTCTTCTATTAATAGTCTTTTAAAAAAAAATCATGAGGGCCTCCCCGGTGGCGCAGCGGTTGAGCGCTGGGTTGCGAACCTGCCCGCGGCCTCTGCAGCGCCGGTTCGATCCCCAGCTGCTCCCCGGCCACAAGAGGAGGGTCCCACATGGCGCGCAGACCTCTCCTGCTGCCCGCTGCTCCCCTCAGCAGTGTACTTCGGTCCTTCTGCCTGCTCTGCTCCCCGCTCTGGTGAATTCTCTCACCCTCCCGTGCTTCTGGCTGTACCCAGTGCATGTGTAAACAAAACAAACAAACAAACAAATAAATAAACATGCCTCTATAAAATAAAATAAAAAAAAATCATGAAACAAAACATTGATACATTAAATTCAGGAATTATGTTCTTTAAGTGTGGTATATAAATAAACTTTTCATGACCTAAAGTTACAAACACTTGGGCCTCCCCGGTGGCGCAGCGGTTGAGTACTGGGCTGCTAAGCTGCCCACAGCCTCTGCAGCGCCAGTTCGATCCCTGGCTGCTCCCTGGCCACCAGGGGAGGGTCCCACATGGCGCGCAGACCTCTCCTGCCGCCCGCTGCTCCCCTCAGCAGTGTACTTCGGTCCTTCTGCCTGCTCTGCTCCCCGCTCTGGCTCTGGTGAATTCTCTCACCCTCCCGCGCTTCTGACTGTACCCAGTGCTTGTATAAATAAATAAATAATCTTAAAAAATATATATATTAAAAAAAAAGTTACAAACACTTTCTCCTGTGTATTCTTCTAGGGCTTTTATACTTTTTAAATTTTACATTTAGGTCTCTGATCCATTTTGTCTCAATCTTTGTATGATATATTTGTTTGCTTCTATTATATCGTATATGTATCTTTTCCTTTCTCCCCCAATTATTCTAGGTCCATTTGTTGAAAAAAATATCCTTTCTTCATTGAATTGCATTTTTATTGCAAATTAGTTAATCATATGTGTGAGAGTTAATGGACCCTCTGATCTGTTCTCTTGATCTATTGTCCATATTTAGGCCAATGTCAGTATCTTGATTACTGAGGTTGTATCATAATTTTTTAAATACATAGTTTTGGTTCTTCAATTTTATTTTTATTTTATGTATTCTTTAAATATGTAATTTTAGTTCTTCAATTTTCTTTTTATTATTGTGACTTCTCTTACCTCTTCTTTTTTACCATCTTACTCTTTTTGGGTTTCTTTCTCTATAAGGACACACTCAAAATGCTCATAACCTAAAAACAGTCTTTATCCATGCTGATTTCTCCCTCTGCATTTCCACATGAAAATTAACATCAGTATGTCAATTTCTGTGAGGAAAAAAAGCCTGCTGGTGTCTGGTTGAGATTGTATTGAATTTATAGATTAATTGTGAAGAACTGAAATCTTAATGTTAAATCTCTGACCACTGAAAACAGCATCTCTCTCACATATTTAGATCTAATATTTCTCAGAAGTGCTTTACAGCTTTCAGTGTATAAGTCCTCCATATCTTTTATCAGATTTATCCCTAAGTGTTTCATTTTTCATACTATTCTGAATAGTATTATTCTTTAATTTCTATCCTCAGTTGTTCACAACAAATATGTAGGACTACAATAGTGGTTTTTTTTTTCATATTGCTCTTATGTCCTGAAATCCACTTATTAGTTCTCACAGATTTTCTTTATATATCCATTGAGATTTTCTACATATACAATCTGGTCATATGCTAATAGAAGTAAGTTTTATTTCCTCCTTTTATATCTGTGTGCATTTATTTATTTAGTTAGTTGTTGCTTAAGAACAGCTCTCATAAAGGCAAGCTTGCAGATTAGTTAAGCATTA